TTAATCTCGACTCCTAAGCGATGTGAAACTTTTAGACATACTGAAACAAAATATATATATATATATATATATATATATATATATATATATATAGTGAAGAAGTTCTCACATAATATTTTTTCGCTCTTCTATTTTTAATTATTCTCATTTATCTTTTCCACTTTTATCTATTTATTACACGCCTATACACATCGAGACACATTTATTAAGTCTTTACTATCTATTTAAAATTAATTGCTATCTTTGAAAATTAATCCTATGCAATTTACTAAGCATCTATTCCTCTTCCTTTTAAAATCATTCCTCTAATGTGAGGTTGATTTTCTAATTATAAATACGTATAATTATGTAATCACACAATCATTTTTCTTCTCACATAATCTCATTAATCAGAAAAATTATTCATACATGCTTGATATTTAACAATGAAATCATAATGACATTTGTAGTAAATCTTTGCACGAGAAGATTACTCCTTCCCAAAAGCATATATTTTCTTAAAGGATCATCTCTTTCAATTCTATAATTTATATGAAAGAGTCCTTTGATTTCATGTAAATAAGACTCATTTTCCATATGTTCATTTCATGCATTAATGTTCCTGATATGCATTTAACTTACACTCATTTACATTATGCATCTTTAACTCTCAAACTTCTTGTCCATTCACCTTTTTCTCTTTTCAATCAAACTATACATACCAACCATAAACAAACCAAAATAACCTTTGTTTAACCCCCTCTTCATTTTTTACTAAAACTACTTGTATTATTTTTGATTTTTTATATGTATTTCATTGTATATTATTTGAGTGCGAACTTATGTTAAAAAAAGAGAGAATATGATGTCATTAACTTCAATCATTATAAGTCATCATTGCTTAAACTCCAAAGGCTAATGGAAGGCTATTGCTTATTTGTGGGTGAAGTCATAAGTGGTAGAGGATGAAGAAGATAACAATCGGTGAAAAGCGTGAAAGAAGGTAATATATATCATTCCATTAAGTAAAAAAAATGTATTTCATTTTTATTTTAAAGATTTTTTAGGTTTGTTTTTGTTGAATTTGAGCTTGTAATTTGTTTGGTTAGGTTATTGAGATTTTATAGATTGAGTTACCTATGATCACACAATTGAGGTTATCAAATACTTTTACAATTTGATTTTGTGTGTGTGTAACATATTGGTGGTTATGGGTAGTAAAATGAACATGAGGATGCTAGGATCGTATTTTGGAAATGCAATTGAAGAGATGAAAAGCACTAAGATTTGAAATAGTTTATGTGCAAAAGGTTATTTATTATGCTGCTTATAGATAATGGATTGTGTTTCTTGCAAAAGTCTTTGCCATTAAGGATAGCGAGCAGAATCCAAAGAAAAGATTGTCAACTCAGGCTTTGCTCATTTTGTGTTGAATGGTGCTTCATCAAAGAACATGTATAGAGTAAAAGATAGATATTATGATAATAATTTGAGAATTGCTTTGAGAACTACAATTTGAGAACTTCATTGGATTCTGTGCAACTGCAATCTATGCCCCCTCCTTTTGTTGTAGTGTTATTTTCCCTTGGGTTCGTATTTATTCAGTATTTCTTTTTAAACAATTAATGATTAAGAATAGATGTGAATTTATTATTTGTACTATAATTAGAGCACATCTTGTAAGGAGGTATAATAAGATATAAGACATTTTTTTAAGGAATTGATTTCATAATAATTTATCTTGTTAGCTATTTGTTTGATTAATTTTATATATTTTGCATATGTTCCAAAATCACGTTTATTTTTTGGTTTCAAACTACTAATTATTAAATCATCTTTATTCGTCGCAACTTAATGTTAGATTCAAAAAATAACCTATGTATTTTAAAATAAATTTATATTAATTAATATATTCATATTTTCGTGCATCACACGGGTCTACAAACTAGTTAATATCAATAGGTGTTACTTAAAATAATTACTTAACTTTTATTAAGCACATAGGTAATTAATAAGTGTCAAATAATAATATAGACTAAAAATAATATTACCTTCGATCCTAATTATAAGTAATATAGGAAAAATCATCTAGATCAAGAGAAAGTAATTCAACGGGTTGTTTTTAATTAATTTTTTTCATAATTTCTAAGTTTATTCCAAAAATGCCCTTTTATTTTAAGTAGTTGTTCTATATTTAATGTTAGTTATAAGTGAATGTATAAGAAAAGAGTTAACAACTAAGAGTATAAAATAAATTATACTTTGAATAACTTTAAAAATTAATGATTATTGTTCATAATAAAAAAAATCCTATTTTTTTGCTTATAATTAGAACTAAAGGTAATAATTTGAGTTTTTTGTTAAGAGATGAGAACATAAACTTTTATCAGAATTAAAATCAAAACTTAGGAAGTAAAAATATATTTAAATCTATATAATTACAAATATGAATATGTGATAAAATTATTCTTTAAAGCATCAAATTTATTAAATTCATACTTTAAAGTATCTTAAAACATTTAATATATAGGAGTGTAAACAACATAGTCTTTAACACACTACTCATGGTATAATTTCTCTTATTGGTTAGAAATAATTAAAAATTACAAAATTAGAAGAGAGAATCAATAAATGATGACATTTTGTCTAGCATTATACCTATCACAAGGACAATGTCAAGGAGGATACAAGAGGAGTTTTCTCTTAGTCCATTTTCTCTTTGTGTGTATTTTTCTTTGTAAATATTTTTCTTTTATTTTTGACCTTGTATTTTGGTCAAGTAGTATAGAAATTTTTGTCATTGTAATTGTTTTTATTTTAGGGATGTAAATAGTAGTTTAGAAAGAGTGCAACTATTATAAGTCATGTTGATTGGGCTTGGATGGACTAACAACCATTTATTTGGGCCCATGTTTTGGGCATCCACTTGCTCAAGCAAGTGGCTTGGACTTCCAATACATGTGGGGACCACATGTCTCCAAGTTCATCCAAGTGGCCAACAAGTCACATAGCTTTGTCTAGTCATAGCAAACATGCTTGTACACATGAAAAATTCTCATTGGCTCTTTTAGATTTAGGATAATGACACGAGTCACATTTTCTTTACTTGTCTACATGGCAAGGTCTCATTGACCATTATAGATATAAGATAGTGATATTTGGAGGGAGTTTGGCTGAATTTTGAATTTGAACTAGGATTAGTGTTTTTGAGTTCAAGTTACCTTGGAATAACCTAGGTTAGCTTAACTTGCACCACAAGCTATTAAACCCTATATATACTTGTAGCCTAGCTTTGTTTGTCACTTTTGAGCATTTATGAGATTGAAACTTGAGTTTTCTCTATGGAAGAAAATATGCACAAATGTTTTGATGATGCCAAAGTGATTATAAAGAATCAAGGTTGAGTTAAAGCAAGTTGATGTAAGAACAAGATCTCAAGTATTACATAGATAAGTCTTGTCAATTTAGCTAAAAATGTAAAAGAATCTTTTAGAATTGCAAGTATGCTTGGCCTTGAGAATAAGTTTTCAAAAATGTCAAATTAATCTCTTTAAATTTAAGCAAGTTTTAAATCTTTTGAAAGTAAGTAAAAATGTTTTCAAAAGACTTAACAAAAGCTTTAAAGAATAGTTCAAATCATTTCTTAAAAGAGATTTGTGAAAGAAATTATTGATATGAAGTTTTTTACATAAATTTTTTTGAAACAATGCAAAAATGTGTTCTGGTAATCCTTTACCAGACCTTGTAATTGATTACCAGAACAAGAAAACTTCAAAGTTCAAATTCAGAATACAAAATGTGTTCTGGTAATCGATTACCAAACCTTGTAATCGATTACCAGAAGATGAAACTTCAAGATTTGAATTTAAATGATACAACATTTCAAACATTTCGAACTTAAAAACTGTTGTAATCGATTACCAAGTCTTGTAATCGATTACCAGAGTATCTTTTCTGAAAAATTATAAAGAGTTACAACTCTTCATGGAAAGACACAACCTAAGAAATAATTGTTTATAAATACCTATAAATTTTCAGAAGAAGGTTACAAACTCTATTATGAAAAATTCATATACAAAAACATCTTGGCCAAATTCATTTGCATTATTCTAAAAGAGTTCATTAAGATCATAAAAGTGTATATCTACTCTTAAAAGAGAGTTATTCTGTAATTCGAAATTGATCATTGGATTTGTGAAGGAGAAAGGGTTTTTCTCCTTGTTGATTTTTGAATCTCAACACAAGGAAAGGGAGTTCCAAGGTGTTGGAGGATTCAAGTCTTGTAAGACTTACAAGAATAGTTTGCATCATCATTCATTCTTTACTTATAAATTTATCTAAAGAATTGAATTTGTAAGAAAGTAATTGGGAAAATTTTTATAAGAGGAAAATTTGAAAAACTTAATTCACCCCCCTCTTAAGTTATATGAGGCTACTTGAATAACATTCTCTTTTCTAAAAGTCTTAGTTCCCTCTTAGAGACATTTTTTCTTAAGACCTTTTATCAAGAAATTCCTCCTTGTGGCAAGGTCTTCCATTCTTGCTTATCTTCCACCTTGGAAGTGGCGTGCCTCCATCTCTCATCTCCATCATCATTTTTGATTTTGAAGCATGGATTCACCATGGAAGAAGATAGGGAGCATCAAGGAGACTAGTGAAGAAGATACAATGATCATTTCTCTAACAGTTTTCATCAATAAATAGGATGCGAGATCATCAATTTTTTTTTTCCAATATATATCCATCTATCAATTAAAGAGTGTATTAGAGAAAGTGTTTCTAACACCTCTCTTTTCTTTTATCCATGGATATGATTCATGCAGTATCCTAAAACGGACAACTAAGGACTAATTGCTTGTGAAACGTGACTTTTGTTTACGAAATATTATTTCAACACAACTAGGAAGCAAACTTGGTTGCACTAGGTTGACCCTCCATGTCCAAATCTTACAACCACTAAGTTAAGATACTTAATTTCTAACATTTCTCTTTAATAACCTTCAGTCCTAATTATAAAGATCAAAAAAATAATTAATGTGGTTATTTTTAAATAATTTTATCGCAAATTTGTTTTATTCTAAATATACTATTTAATTTAAGTAATTTTTATATTTAATGTTAGTTATATATAAATGCATAGAAAATTGAGTTAATAATTCATGAAGGATATAAAAAAAAACTTCAATCCTAAATAAATTTAAAAATTAATTATTATTAATTGTAATTCAAATTTAAAAAATTAATAATTTAATTTAATTTACCATTTATAATTATGACTCGCAAAAGTCAAAACATTTACTCCATACAACCAATATAATAATAAAACAAGAACTCTAATCAATTAATTAACAAAAATTAATAATTCTCGAGTGTTGAACAGCTAACCTGCATGATAAGCGAGAGTGGCCCCAGCGCTATTCCCCATAAGATAACACTTTGAGTAGTCCACATATTGCGTCAACCACTCTTCGTCGCTCCTTCGGATCCACCGCAGCGCTTCCACGCCGTCGTCGTACGCCGCCGGGAGACGGTGCTCTGGCGCGAGGCGGTAGTCGACGGAGGCCACGACGGCCTCGGTGATGTTGGCCATTTGGACGCAGAAATCATGGAACATGGACGTAGCCGCACTCATCACCACGAAGCCGCTACCGTGAAAGAAAATAATGAGAGGAAGCTTGTTGGGAGAGGAGAGTGCTATTCGGGGCAGGAATAGGCGAAGCCAGGTGTTGTTTCTTTGGTTCATGGTTAGGTCTTTCGTCAGAACTGGAATGGGTAGAGAGGGATCCGAAGAGGCCTCGGTGCGCGGAACGCCGTCGTTTAATCGCGTGACGGTGCCGTCGCGGTTGCGGAGGAATCCAAGGTGCTGATAGGGGTCAACGCTTTGATTCGACATGGTGGAGTTCACACGGGATATGGATATACCTTAATTTGGTTTGGTTTATAATGAGAGTCACTACGGAACATATATATATATATATATATAGATTTGATTATTTTAAAAATAAATTTATTTAAATTTATAATGTTTAATAATTCTTATTTTACTTTAAATTTTAACAGTTTAATTATTTTTTTTTAAATTATTTGATATTTTATTTTATTAATTCAAATTATTATATAAAATAATTTTATGATTGTCTGTTAATTTAAATAATTTTAAAATTTTATAAAATT